AAATGACAAGAAAAGCTAAAGCTAGTTTCTTGTTCAATGTATAGTTAGGTATTGTTTTATCCACTCTGACAACGTCTTTTAATTGTTACGTTTAGTCCATTTATATTTAACGTAATTATTGATGTTTAGCTCTATGTCTCCTATTTTATTATTTGGGTTCTGTTTATTCCATTTTTAATTCCTCTGTTTACTCTTTTCTGCCTTCTTTTTAGTTATTCGAGTATTTCGTATAATCATATTCTCATTCCGTTTTGATTTATCTATTGTGTTTGAATATATCTCTTTGTATAGTTGTATTTTAAATGGTGGCTCTAGGGCTTCCAATATAGAGAATCATTCACAGAGTACTCAGAACCGACACTTCACCATTTTAAGTAGAAGTGGAAACTTTATGGCCACATAGACAGCTTTACCTTCCCCCCTTTATGTTGTAGACGTCTTATATTACATGTACATGAAATGTAAATGTCACTGAACAGTGTTATAATTTTTCCTTTGTCATCAAATATATTTTAAAAATAGAGGACAGATCCACTAGACAGAGACCACCAAGGAAAGAGAAGACTTTAACAATACCCTAAACTAACTAGACCTAAATGACATCTATTGACAACTCCACCCAACAACAGCAGAACACACGTGCCTCTCAAGTGCATATGGAACATTCTCCAGCATGGACCATATGCTAAGGCATAAGATAAACCTCAATAAGTGCAAAAGAATTGAAATGATACATATGAAGTATGTTTTCCCACAACAATGGAATGAAATTAGAAATCAACTACAGAGCGGAATTTGAGAAATTCACAGATATGTGCAAATTAACAGCATACTTCTAAATAACCAATGAGTCAAGCAAGACGTCACAAGGGAAATTAGAAAATACCCTGAAAAAAGAAAATACCCTGAGATGAATGAAAATGAAGAGGCCACGTAGTCTGTCGTAGCACGTGTGTGTCCCAGGGCCAGCGGGGGGCCGTGGGTGCTGCTGCTGCTGAGCTCTAGAACCTCTGAGAGCTCCGTGGAATCTGGAAACTGCTCAGGGTGGAATGTGCTTTGCCAAGTATCCAGCAGTCGCCGAGCTCCTCCTGTGCGTGGCAAGGGTACAAGGACAAAACGAGTCCTTCCGTTGGGAGCCATCCTTCTGGCAGGAACACAAACCAATACATACAAGTGCTCAAAACAACTACTGAATCAGAGGTGTGAGCAGAGGATTTGGGGAGCAAAGGAGAGTGACTAGTTTTGCTTGAGGAAGTCAGGAAAGGTTTAAAAAATGGGGTGAATTTGATGTGAGTCTCAAAAGTGAGGAGGGTACACGGATCTCAGGAGGGCAGCCGAAGGTCTGGGAAAGATAGTCCTGCGTGATGGGCATGGCCATTGGGAGAAAACAGACTCAGCAATAGGTTGGGACCTGCTTGTTCGGTGAGCCTAATGAGGCTGGTAAACAAGGGGAGTCGAGTGATGGCTGCTTGGAGGTCAGAGCAGAGTGAGGACAGCGTGGAGCCAGCCAGGGCGCCAGCTGGGAGGAAGAAGGGCTCTGGGACCTTCTGCAGCTGAACGGCTGGACTTTGGGGTCCTTAGCTGTGGGGATGGGAGGGGTGGGGGAGGGGAGAACAGACAGCAGCTCGACCTTAGCCTGGGAGCCTGGAGAGATGGTGATGCCACTAAGGGCAGTGAGAAAATGGAGGAAATGGGAACTGGAAGAGGGCCAGAGGCCGCTGCTCCCAGGCCGGGCTAGTGGGTATTTATTCTCCTTTCAAGATCCAGCTCCAGGAGACCCTCCCCCGCAACCTGCGGGGTGCTGCCCGTGTGATCTTGCAGAACCTTATGCTTCCCCCCATGCTGTGCTGTAATCGCCCGTCTCTCTTTCTTGGGCAGGAGGAAGCCAAGGCCTGCACCTGCCCAGGGGAGGACACGACGTGCAGGACTCAGGTCGGACATTTGAGGAGGGGAGGAGGGAACGATAGAGCCCCAAGAGCACGGGGCAGCTGAAGGGTGTGAAGATAAAGAACTGAAACAGCTCAGAATTCGGGGTGAACGGTGGGAAGACTCCGCCAGCAGCCTACATGGTTCTCAGATGTGCCTTATGTACAGCAATCAGCCCATTTGCTTTTATTCGTATACATGAATGTTTCTGTGATATACTCAAGAAGACTTGAATTTTTCACACAGACATCCACCAAGTAACAGGGTAGAAATGTGCACAAGCTTGGAAGCACAGGAACCACCTGGGTTCAGGTTCTGGACACGCCACGTCTTGCCGTGCAAGCTCAAAGGGCCTCCTTGACTTCACAGCCCTGGGGGATTGTCAGGATTAAATAACGCCGTGTTACCTACAAGGTGGCTGCCCTGTGAATGCACAGAGTCTGTTTGACATTTTTACATGGTTTTAGATATCGTACCACTTAAACTGTTTTCCAGAAAATAACTACATACAAGTAAAAGTTTAAAATGGCTTTAAAAGAAAAAAACGTGGAACTCTTTTTAAAATTGAAGTGTAACTCACCTATAACATCAAGTTAGTTTCAGGTGTACAACATAATGATTCCATATTTGTACACATTGCAAAATGATCACAATGTCTAGTTAACATCTGTCACCATGCAGTTTTCTTTTCCCGGAATTTTTAAAAAATTAATTTATTTTATTTTATTTATTTTTGGCTGCATTGGGTCTTCGTTGCTGTGCGCAGGTTTTCTCTAGTTGCGGTGAGCGGGTCTCTCATTGCAGTGGCTTCTCTTGTTGCGGAGCATGGACTCCAGGTGCGCGGGCTTCCGTAGTTGCAGCATGCGGGCTCAGTAGTTGTGGCTCACAGGCTTCAGAGTGCAGGCTCAGTAGCTGTGGCGCACGGGCTTAGCTGCTCCGCGGCATGTGGGATCTTCCCGGACCAGGGCTCGAACCCGTGTCCCCTGCATTGGCAGGCGGACTCTTAACCACTGCGCCACCAGGGAAGCCCCCACCATGCAGTTTTAACATTTTTTTCCTATGATGAGAACTTTTAAGATCTATTCTTTTAGCAACTTTCAAATGTGCAACTCAGTGTTAATAACTATAGTCACCGTGCTGTACATGATGCCCCTATAAACTGTTTATTTTTAACTGGAAGTTTGTATCTCTTGACCCTCTTCACCCATTTTGCCCACCTGCACCCTCCCACCCCGCCTCTGACAACCACCTATCTGTTCTTGTTTTTTTTTTTTTATGATTCTTGCTTTATGATTATTGGGTTTTTAAAAAAATGATTCCACATATAAGTGAGATCATACAGTATTTGTCTTTCTCTGACTTATTTCACTTAGCATAGTTGTCCTATCCACGTTGTCATAAATGGCAAGATTCCCGTCTTATTTCTGGCTGAATAATATTCCATTGTTATACAGACCACATTTTTTTTCATTCATTCATCCGTCGACGGACGCTTAGGTTGTTTCCAAAACAGCTTTCTTAAGCACTAGTCCTATATTCTCATGGTTCCATGTCTCAAAGCCATTCAAGTTAAGCAAAGCACAACAGTTATTTTTAACAATTATCAACATTTATTAAGCACCAAGAGTATACTGCACTGGTTGCTATGTAAAAACACAATTATTGGCATAGTGTCCCTGCCACTGAGCTTACAATCTAAAATGAAACACAATAACAATGCTGTAAGCCGACCTCAAAATCTCCTTAATTTAGAAATTGCTATTTTGGCAAATAAATGAGGCAAAATGATCTACCATCAGTTACAATGTTAATAAGGCTTTGAACACGATCCAAAGAACGTCTGACTTGTACCCAAACGTTTTCCCAATTATCTTAGGCTTGATAAGAAAAAGACCACCTAGAAGTGGTAAACAGTGAATTATTTCAAACGGCCTTGTAGGGTTTTAAGCCAAGATTCGCTCACTAGCCTGAGTTTCTCTCCGGCCAGAGGAAGCCGTGCGCAACACCGTGAAGTAAGCAGGTCCGTCCTCTCGTCCGCTGACAACTGTTCAGCCCTTCCTCCCCCCACGAGTGAGGGCTCTGTGTCCCCTACAGCGGAGAAGGTGTGTGTCTGGATAAAACACCCCACAGCCTTGGAGGCTTAATGAGGCAGACTCGCAGGAAATACGAACTCGTATTTTATGAGAGGGGTGAGCGGTGGGACCTCTGCTACAGGAGAGACGTGAACCGAGCAGTTCAGCCCATGCCTCTTCCCAGTGATTAGAAACACAGGCAAATGGGCGCCTTCTGCTCCGAATTTCTGGTGTGTGAGCATTTGGGAATTTGGCAGCGAGACCCCAGGCTGAAAACCCTGCACTATTCTGCCTGTATCCACAGTATAGTATTTAATAAATACTTTGAAGATTTTTGTTGCTGGTCATATATTAGCTGACAAAGGCACGCCGAAGGGATTCTGATTCTTGCTGTCAAATGCAAAGACAGTTTCAGACTTCTAAGCACAGTCTTAAACTATATATTGATTATCTTCAATCACTGATAATTCTTTGAACTCTAAAAGAACACTAAGAAACAAAGCAATTGGTTATAAATTAACTGAAATACAGTTTACTCTGTAAAGTGCATGCACAAATGTTTAAAAAATACATGCATACAAATATTTTAATGGCAGACTGGTAGCATCCTGAGATTTTTTTTTTTTTAATGGTAAAACAGTATTTCAGCAATTTTTGGAAAAACCAATAATTTTCCCCTAAGTCCATCTTGGCAATTTTCTTTTACATGATAACATAGCAGCAGCAACAGTTAAAAAATGTTCACAAAATTTGCTTTGCATACAAGTTTATCAGGAAAGACTGGTCCAGAAACTTCAGGATAAAACTTTTTACAAAGTAAAGTAATTCACCACTTTTGACCTAAAATTGATACTTAAACATTCCTCTCGCAATTTAAAAGTGTCATTTATGCCTCCTACTTATAGGAAATAAAATCTAATTATGAGATTTGTAATGAAAAATTTGAAACACACACCAACATCCTTCTCTTCTAGTAAGATTACAGAAATTAATTTCAATGTGTTTCCCCAAAAAGTGAAAAAAAGTTTAACATGTAATCATAGCTGTGGTAAATGAATTTGAGTTTACAAATCTCAGTCAGTGCACTTGTGTTTAGTTTGTAAGGTGTGAAACAGCTAGAATTCCTGATTAAAGTATGTATTTTTCTAAGGCAAGGCAAGTTCGTTTATGTATAAAGCATAGATATTAGCTGGTTATAAAGGCAATAAGAGAAACACATATACATTCACTTTTTTTTAAAGTGATACATTCCAAACTACATAACATTTAATTTCATGTCCTCTTCTAAGACTACATCTTTGACCTTAACCTTAGAAGCACAATTGCTGTAATACATTGAAAATGCTTCATCTCCCCAATATTGTAAAGTATATACTGTATTTTCAGATACCCTATAGTATAAATTGTTTTGCACAAAATCTGAAAAGGATGCTGTCAGCTGTACGTATAACTACTATGTTAAGTGACTGTGTGAAGAAATTCACAAGGAGAACAAAATGTAAAACTAAGCACAGCAATGAAGGCGCTTATAACCCTAACAACAAAACCCCAAATCGCGTAGTTCTGAATATACTTGCTTCTTATCTTAGTAATGTGTATATTCATTTCACAGCCACTCATTTGATAAATGCGCTAAGATTCTGTAAGGTCTGTGTTTCTCGGTTGGTTGTTTTTCTTTCTTATATCCTCCTAAACTGCAGCTGCAATTAATTTGCTTTTGAATACAAAGTAAAATAGTGTTGATATTTTTTATCTGAGTCATGTAAAAGCTGACTGCTTACTTTCATTTTTAAAAGTAATATTTAACTTTTTGGACCTCAATTAAAATTTAACCATGTTTCTTTTGCTATTAAGTACAGTTGCCATTTCAAATTGATAAGGGTTACTAACAGAGGCAAATGTTGACCTCATCCATGTTTTAAATATGATTACACAAACTTTTTTTAATGAGAAAAAGGAGATGAAGAAAACCGCTCCATAGGTTCTCTTCACTCTCAACTATTTCGCGATGCAGCTTTGGGTAAGGGTGTATGAGGTCAAGCAATGTTGTAATCTCTTATCTTTGCAGAGAAGAGAAAAAATAAGATGAAGTTATTTCCTTCCTAAGGTCTCCGCTAGCTTCTTAAGTCTTTTTTTCAGCTCCAACGGAAATTTCTCATAGCACTTCTTACAGACTGGCTTCATGTCAAACTCCACAAACTTATTCCTAAAGATAACAATAATAATAATAAAAAAGAAATTAGTGGAAATATAGTCAGCATTTGTATACAGACCTACAAATAACGTGCAGTAATTTTACTGAAGTAAATGAAGACACTATGCATATTACATCTGTATTCGTATTAGCAAAAAACTATAATTCTAATCTCAATTCTAATCATTATGGTAAACATAAAAATTCACAATATCATTTGAAGGAAGTTGCCCTTGTAAATTGATCGTGTACATCTATCTAATACAGAATGGATATTACCGATACATTTTAGTCTGTGCTAAGTATACAGGGAATATAATGTAAATAAAATTCAGATAGTTAAAGTCAATCACATTTTAAAGTACCACGAGAGCACTTTTAAAGAACAGTCCTTCAAAGCAAAGAACTGTATTTCTGTAATTTGAACGATCCTCTCTTTACTGAAGGCAAAATCATCTTACTTAGTATTTTATGTCATGTAGCTGTGAGGTTTCACCTTTCCTGGCCTCCCATCCCCACAACAACAACAAGCATCTTGAAAAAAATCTAACATAATATATAGGTTATTTTGGTTGGCTGTCTGACAGAACGCTTTAAATCACTCTTCAAGAGCACAAGTGGACCAGATGGTCACATCTGTGACTTGTGGTCTGTGGTCACATCTGTGAATGGCGTATGTACGGAGAACTCAACTCTTTTTTAAAAGCCAGGGCAACACACACTCTCAATTCACTTGTAAAACAATTGTGGACAGGGGTTGAGACGGCCTCCTAGCTATGGGTGATACATCTCCAGCTGACAGTTATGAGGGCTTATCACCATTGAAATCATGGGTCCTTAATTGTGAATGGAGCAAATGCAGAATTTTACAACTTGCTGATTTTCTGTGAAATTACGTTTAGGAAGCATTTGTGGGACAGGTCCAATGATACGCTGTCAGCTGTGACATATTATTATATCTGCTGATATAATTTTAAAGAACAACATTAATGACAACGTTAATTCCTGACCACACATTTAAAGTGAAAAATCTTTTATTTTAAAGCACCACATGGGAATTATTTTCTACTGTTTTTCAGAGATCCTAATGCTGACATTTATTCAAATGATGTTACATTTCAACTGGCAATTTGATTTAAATAGTACCATTGAGTTAAAAGTTCTCCCAAAGTCTTCTTACAACAAAAGCTATTAAAACCGCCATGTTTTTGATGAAAGAAATAAATTATCCCTGCTCCCAGAGATAATGCTAAACAAACCTTACGTTGTTTTAATCTTATATCTGAATTTTAACTTCTCTTTAATTTTAAACAATAAAAAAACTTTTAGAGCTCAGAACACAATGGTACTATGAAGGGACTGGGACAATCATGCTAGCAATTCAAGAGAATTTCCAAGATTGAAAGATCTCCCATAAAAATCAGGAATAGAATTGAGTTTGAAAACATCAAAAAAATGAGTTCATAACCAGCAGCACGTGGGCAGTGAATGAAAGCACATATACACACACCAGAGATGCCGTATCTTATTATGGAAACATGCTGAGAGGATTCAGTTTAATACAGAACTTAGAACATGCAACACTGGAATTGATCAAAGTATATTATTTTAGGCAAAGGAACCAAAAACCAGGATTTTAAAAGCTGCAATTATCAGACAAGAATACTTTGAAACTTTTCCAGTATCTTTTAGGAGATTAGAATTCTTCCCTTTGAATCCATTGGAAAAATAAAAAAAGAAATCTATACCATATTGTGATGAAAATAACGAGCTGAGAGAGCCAGAGGTTCAGGGACAAAAGTGCAGTACAAGCCAGTGTTAAGTGTGAACCCTTCTCGAGGTGTGTAGCGTTACCAGTGTTAAGTGTGAACCCTTCTCGAGGTGCGTAGCTTTACCGGTGTTAAGTGTGAACCCTTCTCGAGGTGCGTAGTTTTACCAGTGTTCAGTGTGAACCCTTCTCGAGGTGCGTAGCTTTACCGGTGTTCAGTGTGAACCCTTCTCGAGGTGCGTAGCTTTACCGATGTTCAGTGTGAACCCTTCTCGAGGTGCGTAGCTTTACCGGTGTTAAGTGTGAACCCTTCTCGAGGTGCGTAGTTTTACCGGTGTTCAGTGTGAACCCTTCTCGAGGTGCGTAGCTTTACCGGTGTTCAGTGTGAACCCTTCTCGAGGTGTGTAGCTTTAATAACTAGGCAAAAGGACCAGCTCTACATGGGACAAATGCTTCTGTTTCAATCTACATGCCCGAAAGTAACGAAAAAAACAAGAGACAAAAACAGAATGAAAACGTATTCTAAAGGACTAACCAAAGGAGAAAGCAGTGAAAATGCTGACAGAGGGATAGAAAAGTTTACAAACAGACTGGCTTTTTCTTTTTCTGCTTGTCCTTATCCTTTGCTTCTCTCTCCCGTTTGGCAAGTCGCCTCTTAAATTCTTCTGGCATTTTCTCGTAACAGTGCTTGCAGACTGGTTTTAGATCAATTTCAACAAACTTATCCCTTTGCGCAGGACAGAGAAGGAACAGGAGAAAACAGGGAACAATTAAAGGACGAAGCTTTGCCCTTAGAAAGGCCTGAACGGAAAGAAGAAATAAGGCATCAGATCATCTTTTTAAAGTCTGTTGACAACGTCCCCTAAGCGCTCGTCGCGGGGCTCGCGGGAGCCGAGGGCAGACTTACTTGAGCGTTAACTTGGCGCTGCAGGTGGAGCAGGAAAAGCAGTGCACGCACCAGGCCTTGTTGAGGGCGGAGACCACTAGGGGACAGGAGGGGGACCGTCATTCACCGCACCCACCCGTCCCATCCCGGGGTGGGTGCCCTCCTCAAGGGCTTTTCTCACCAAAGAGCCACACACGGCACTAAAAATCGCAGTGCCATTAACTGACGTTCACAGGATCAGTCGACGTTATTCATTAATTTATCTCATCACGTTGTTAGAACACACAACCCCAGCTCTGCATTTGTCTCCCACGACTGTAGGCTTCCCCTTAGGGAAGACCACCGTTGCCTTTTCAACGCGTGTCGGTGATTAATGTTTTCTTCTCCCGTGAGGCATCCGAACGGCAGGTACCAGGTCTTCACGCCGACACCCCCCAGCCCCGCCCCAACTGCCAAGCTGTGCCGGCGCGGCCCGGCTTCCCTAGCACAGCAGGTAATTAAAACAAAGTTCAGACACTGACTCACCGGCCTGCAGGAGCCTGTCTTCCAAGCCAACACTAAGGCAAGGGCTTCCCTCCCCTGGCTGCTGCCTGCCGTGGGCGGGGGTAAGATTTATTCCCAAAGGCACTAGACATCGCTTTCCTGGCCCCGCCCCTTCGTGAAGGGCACACGGGCAGCGTTTCAGGAAGCATTTGCAGAGCTAGGCTCCGCTCAGAGGCGGAAGCAGGAATGGTTGCAATTCAC